TCGAAAATAAATTAAATGAATAAAAATAATCTAACTAGAAAGAAATAAAATGAAACTTTACCTAACAAATTGTGGGCCTTGTCTATTTGAAATTGTAAGGTAATGTCTTAGAAATTTCTTTGCGACTGGCCAAGCATTAAAAGCAGAGTTTATTGTATTGAAGATAAATAATCGAACAAAAAACTTATTTTAATAAATATTTACATTTAGTAGAAGTAGGTAGGAAATTTCTTGGAAACTTCAATGCAATATGCACACAATTAATAGACCACTAAAAGTACAAGCAAATAAATGTGCAAAGAAAAAGCAAGGGTAATTTTTATGTCACCGACAACACGACTTGACTTCATCAATTCATTGCGAAGTCAAGTCTAATTCACTTTATAGTTTATAGTTTCAACCATAAATACTAATTTACTTTATAATTTGAAATAATTACATAATGTCTTATTAATTAATACAGTAATTTTGTACCAAATTTCTAGTCATAGAAATTTAAGAGATGGTGAAACGTACTCATTTATATTCAATTGTGATAGATTCAAATCAGTAATGAATGTATGGTTAAAACCTCCATTGGATTTGCGGAGCTGAATTTTCTTAGGATGTATTTTTTATTTTATTTTTATTTTTTTATCTGGTGTCCGGTACCTGGATTGGGTTCGAACCCGAAACTCCATCATTCAATTGGACACCCATTACCACTACACCAAAGGCATAACTTTTATTAAGGGTGTCTAACTTTAAATATATATCCTTTAAATGTAGCATTTGACATATATATAGAACGTAATTTTCTGAAGAAGGGTGTCCAACTTTAGATATATATCAGTATGATCAAATAATACATTTCAAAATGTTAATCAAAGTTCATATGGTTTGACTCTAAAAAAAACCATGACATGTAAATAGGAACAAAAAAAGTAAATTAAAAAATGGTAATGCTAAATGACCAGAAATTTTAAAAGTCTATAATATCCTTTTTATTTTAAATAAATTGATCTTTTTTTTAAAAGTAAAATGTATTAAAGTTAAAAGGGTAAAAATGTTCAAAAAAGTAAAATAACATAATGTGAAATATGTTATTTTACCATTCTGGCCAAATTCTGGTCAAATTTTCTGGCCAAAAGGATTTTTCCTATGTGTATATTTACTCTACTAAACACACCCAAATCCTAAATTTGGTGTAAAATTTGCTTTTTTGAGCTCCAACCCACACCAATTTTTACACCAAATTTGGTGTGTGAATAGTGTTACATCAAATTTGGTGTAACACTCTTCATCACACCATTTCACTTTTTTTATATTTTAATATTATTTCATTATACAAACTTTTAATTAAACATTATATAAATTGTATGTTTTAATTAAATCTCTTGTATATTTAATTATTTTTTATGTAATATTTTTATAATATTAATTTTAGATATAAAATTTGGTTTTTTTATAAATTAATTTTTCTATATATGACTTTTTAAAAAAATTAAATTTATGTTAATTCTACTATAAATTATATTTGGATATAACTACAATTAACCTTCAGAAAAATTAAAAATGCAAACATATAAATTTTTAAACAAATAATACTATGTACTTTAAAATAACCAAAAATAATAAACAGTCAACAAAGTAGTAATTTTACATACATTAATATTGAAATATAAAATACATAGTTTTGCAATCTTGTTTTGCAATTATTGCAGGACCGTCACGTTTTTGGAGAAAAGAAGTGCTATATGATATATTAACTTCATGTATTATAATGCACAACATGATAATTGAGGATGAGCGTGATCTTAATTCACCAATTCAAGATGCGTCGGAAGGTCCAACTCCGACCGTAGAAATGGCAATAGATGAAAATTATGAATTTCAACAATTTCTAGCTTGATATAAAAAAATAAAGGACAAAGAAGCTCAGTTTGAACTACGTAATGCATTAATAGAGCATTTATGGGAGCACCGTAGTGATCTTGAAAGTTGAATATTTATGTAAAATTTAAAATAATTTTTTCAATTATGTAATATTTATTTAATCGTATTTCATTAATGATTTCACTTTTATTTGTATTATCCATTATTATGTATAATGTATAATATTTGCTAGAAATTTATATTATTTAAAAAATTATGGTACAAAATAATTTTATATTAAACGATTATAAAAGGAAATAATATGAATTATATATGGTGAATGTTTTAGAAAGAATTTGTTTTATGAAATAAGAAAATATAAATGAAATAAGAAATAACAATATAATAATGAAGAGAGAGAAAATTATTTCTTTTTGGTGTAAAGTTTGGTGAAGTGGGTTGGAGTTGATTAAACAAAAAATAGTGCCGACACCAAATTTGATGTAAAATTTGGTGTTTGGGTTGGAGATGCCCTTAATCCCTTTGGCCTTTTTCAGTTTTTATTGTCCTTTTGCAAGTTGGGTGAGCTTTTCCCAATTTTGTTGGAATTCGTCAACTTCATGCACAATTGTTAGCACTTTCATCCATGTCACAATCAAATATAAATGTGTGGAAGGCGTGAAGAAATTTCCTACTACTTACTATGGATGAGTAATATTCAATGTAAATGTACTAGTTGACTACTGGGAGTGGGAGGTGAAGATACTCGTAAAACAATTACGAGTTTATTGTACGAACTTTTAACAAGGAGGAGAATAATCATCTTTTTAAATGATCAGAGTTAATACTAATATGGTCCAATTTTTCTTTGTGCAGATGAATAGTGGGTCCATAACCAGTGGCGAATTTAGGTACAAAAAATATGGCACCCGAACCCGTGGTCTCTTCGTAAAATTAGATATTTTATGTGTATATTTTCTAGCATTTGTATAATATTATATTCTTGCACCCGTACTATAAAAAGTCTAGTTGGTTCACATGGTTAAATGCTGAGATTTTGACTTTGAGGACTGAGGATCAATTCCTACTGAATACATTTTTCTTGGTGCACCCATGTTTGGATCAATTCCCACTTAATACATTTTTCTTGGTGCACCCATATTCGAAAAATCCTAGATTCGCCTCTGTCCATAACCATAAATGATCTACAGAGAAGCAATAGAAATTCAAATTAGTAGAAAAGTAATATGTATGGCTAAAACTTGTCAGAATAATTAATGCGATAACTAAGTAGACATACAGAAATTTCCTATTAATATTATTAGTTGACTGGAATGTTTATTTCTTCTTTCCTCTATATAACTAATTTGTTCATCATTCAATTGATCTCATCCGATCCATACACTTTAGTTTTTCTTTTCAGACAATTAATTGAATCTATGGCATCTTCTTTTGCAAGTGATTCACAATACTGTCCTCGATGGAAGTACGATGTCTTTCTAAGTTTTAGAAGTGTGCTGACACCCTGAGAACATTTACGAGTCACTTGTATGAAGGTTTGAAAAACAGGGGAACATTCACCTTTCGAGATGATAAAAGGCTAGAGAATAGCGATTCCATCTCAGAAGAACTCTTGAAAGCTATTGAAGAGTCTCAAGTTGCACTCATCATTTTCTCAAAGAATTATGCTACATCGAGGTGGTGCTTGAATGAATTAGTGAAGATCATGGAATGCAAGGAAGTGAAAGGACAAATAGTAATACCGATCTTTTATGATGTGGATCCATCACATGTTCGAAATCAATGTGAGAGCCTTGCAGAAGCATTTGACAAACACGAATGGAGGTATAAGGATGATGTTGAGGGGATGCATAAGGTGAAAGGATGGAAGAATGCTCTAACTGCTGCTGCAAATCTAGTAGGATATGATATCCGCAACCGGTGAGTTAAAAACACAAGAATTGAAATTGAAGGAATAATTTATGAAGACTACCTACACATATATTCTATACATAAAAAATTAGTCAAAGAGAATCTTAAATAAATTTTTCCTATTTTCTAAAAAAGAATGATGGTTGATTATATATATTTCTATAAGTTAGAAGGGATAGTTCCTATCAATTTTATTACTCGATGACATTGTTAGGAAGATAATATTTTTATTGATTCTAGGGTAATATACTTCTTATTCTTGACGTTTTTTTTTTACCTGTATATATCAATATTCTTATTTTTTGTAGAATTGAATCGGACTCTATTCAGGAAATTGTTGACCAAATTTCCATATTATGCAAGGGTTCTTTATCTCAAAAGAGAGTTGACCAACCTTGCAGTGATTCTGAATGATAATATCCAAGGGACCTGGTACCAGTGTCGTGGATGAAAAAGAGGTTGAGTCGTTGAGAGCTGAGAACAAGCAACTGCTGAAGACAAATGCCTCACTCGGTGAGGAAGTCAAAGCTCTCAACAAGCAAATCATTCAAGCTCATGTTGATGCAAATGAGCGAATGTCTTTGCTGATGCAAACTCTTATTACCCCTCCCCCTCCGTCCTAAACGAGTCCTGTCTTATTGTCCTCCTCATCTCTGTGTCAAAAACTCGAGTGGCTTTGTGTACCGTCTTGGCTAACCCCTGTGGTCAGCTTTTGTGATCTAATGTTATTTCTTATTGTGCATTATTAAGTATGCTTTGATATTCTCTTTTATGCTTACCTGTACAAGTTCTGTGTGGCCCGTGGCCCTGAATTCTTCAATGCTTTGCATATAACTCGCATATGTTTACTAACATTCCTTTTCAATGTGTCAAAAAGGGGAATTAAGGTGAACTGTTGTGTGAAATTAGAAGGGAACTGAACTAAGGGGGAAGAACAATGATAGGGGGAACTGCGATAGGGGGAATAAATGTAATTTTTGAATGAATGTTTAACACTCATGCGAGGCTACTTGTAGGTTGTTTGTCATCATCAAAAAGGGGGGAAATGATAAGTCTTAATGCTCCCAGATGTTTTGATGATTTACTCACAAGTGTAGGGACCCGATCCTCTGCAGAGTATGCTCGTCCAGGATCATATGCTGTACAGATGGAAAGCTGCCCGCGTCAGAAGTTGGTAAAGCCGTCAGAGTACTACACCAATCAAAAGGGATGAGGTTGTTTGTCCAATATGTATTAACTCTTGATGTTGATGTATTCAAGTTAACAAACAACAAATTACTCATTCATTCAAAGAGAGATATTCAAGGTCCCTTGGAGATTATCATCAAGGGACCTGGTACCAGTACCTTTTTCATCCACCACACTGGTACCAGGTCCCTGGTATTAACTCTTGATCCAATATGTATTAACTCTTGATGTTGATGTATTCAAGTTAACAAACAACAAATTACTCATTCATTCAAAGAGAGATATTCAAGGTCCCTTGGAGATTATCATCAAGGGACCTGGTACCAGTACCTTTTTCATCCACCACACTGGTACCAGGTCCCTGGTATTAACTCTTGATCCAATATGTATTAACTCTTGATGTTGATGTATTCAAGTTAACAAACAACAAATTACTCATTCATTCAAAGAGAGATATTCAAGGTCCCTTGGAGATTATCATCAAGGGACCTGGTACCAGTACCTTTTTCATCCACCACACTGGTACCAGGTCCCTGGTATTAACTCTTGATCCAATATGTATTAACTCTTGATGTTGATGTATTCAAGTTAACAAACAACAAATTACTCATTCATTCAAAGAGAGATATTCAAGGTCCCTTGGAGATTATCATCAAGGGACCTGGTACCAGTACCTTTTTCATCCACCACACTGGTACCAGGTCCCTGGTATTAACTCTTGATCCAATATGTATTAACTCTTGATGTTGATGTATTCAAGTTAACAAACAACAAATTACTCATTCATTCAAACAGCATCAAGGTACCTGGTACCATCAGTACATGGAATGTACTTAAAACGATGCAGGCCAACTGGCATCAGTACATGGAATGTACGAGTATGTGAGCTGGAAAAGCTAAACCACAACTTAAGCTAGAAAAGAGAACAAGAGATCACTTACCTTGACTCTGAACGACTCATATAAATAACTGGGCTCAAAGTAAAGCAATAAGGCACATGCAATACATATAAAGCTTGTAAACAATGTAAACAACTTAGTTTGTGAAGGATAGAACGACAACAAACTCAACTTTACTTATATGGAAGAAATATAGCTTTTGTGGGAGGTTCTTTAACCGACAACCACCACTACGAGCCTTAGTGATGATACAACGTTTTACCTCACGTTGCCCAAGGACTATCCTATACCTTGCCGTGATATATGACCTTACTTTAGTTAGTGGATCCACTAGCTTTATCTTATGTGATCATCTAAAAAGAATGATCCGTCAAGTCCCATGTTGGCGCATGGTTCTTATGGAGAGTTGAGTTAATATGAACTCGTGTCCCCAATTCGGTGCTCAATACTACTCCCAAAAATACTTTGGCTCATAAGTGCTTTAAACACATCTTTCTTTAGTTGAGATAATTACTCAAAACTTAACCCAAAGACTCTTTTGGAAAACATGGTTCCCCTCTTACTCAAAGAAGTTAAAACGTTCAATAAAGACTCTTGAACAACTTTGAAAACTTGCTTTGACTTACTTCTTTAACTTCTAGACTTGACCCTTAACTTCACTTTGACTTGATCCTAACTCGCCTTGAATTGGATTATGGATTCAAGGTATATGATCACATGTTTATGGATGAGTTCTTGACGTTTAGACGTACCTTGGAGTGTTGGAAACAACTATGAAACATATGTACAATACCAAGGAACATGCATGTAAAAGTGGGGAATGAATGGGAAAACTTGGCGTTCTTGGCGCTCTGAAAAGTGCGGGGCGCCAGACCACAAAGCTCAGAAGGGCAGCTGAGGCGCTCTGCAAGGCGCGGCGCCCCAAGGGGAGAAGTTCAGAACACTTCTTGGGGCGCTTTGCAAGGCGCGACGCGCCACCCCTTTCCCTCGAAAATTCAACTTTTCTCCTTCATTTCTCCAACTCTAAACCTTCTCAACCTCAAAGGTTCCAGCCCCAAATACTTAGAATCATAAACCCCTCAACATACATTAGATTTCAACTCAACAACACAACCGGAAACATGTCCCAAATCAACAAGGAGCTTCAACAACACAATCAACAACATCAACAACACAACCAACAACTTCAACAACACAACCAAT